TATTCTAAACTTGGATAGAACGTGCGGTCTGGTGGAGGTGTGTGCTGCTGCTCTTACTAATGACATTAGTAGCTGTGGAGCATGGACGCTTGCGCTGTGGCGAATGGCAGAAGGCTCTTGTTCAGAACATACTGCAGCTACCATGGGGCCTGTCTTCATATCACATGGCAAGCCGGTTAGGCTTTAGTTTTAGGATTGGTTACTTTCTGCACTCAGGAGGTTAGACCTCTCTACCAGGATAGAGAGAAAGGAAATGTGAAATAAGAAAGAGCACAAAGATAAGCCAATGGCATTCAGCAACCACCGGAGCTCATCTGGAGTTTACGAAACATGCTGCGTCAGCTGTCAGTCACCTCAATACAGAGTGGGAGCTGTAGTTGGGTAGAGAGAAGTGCACAGTCCAGTGGCTGCCTTTAAATTACTTTTAAAATGACTTTATTTATTTATTTATTTATTTATTTATTTATTTATTTATTTATTTATTTATTATTTATCTATCTATGTATTTGTTCACGTGTATGAGCACATGTCTATGGGCATGCCATGCCATGGCTTGTGTGGTCAAAGAACAACTTGCGGAAGTCAATTGTCTTCTTCCACCTCATGGCTCATAGGGATTAGACTTGTGTTGTCAGGCGTGGTGGCAAAGGCCTTGACCTGCTGAGCCATCTCATCCACCCCAAGCTCCATTTTAAATGTTTGTCTCTGAAATCCAGAATCATTCACTTCCCCACATTCCCCAGAAGTCATCCCTGCCGACCCTGTTTGAAGCCAGCCCTGGGAGAAACAGCTCGCTTCTCTGGCTGTCCTGAGGTTTGTTGGGTTTCAACTGACTGGTCAGTGTTTTTCTACAGCACCGGCATATCAGGCACAGTGTCTATACGATGTTCCATTCATCTGCAGATCACTGGGCTTTCTTATCTTTCTTATATTTCAGTTTAGGAGGGTGGGTGGACAGACTAACAAGCAGAGGCGGAGCCTCTGGTATTCTAGAGACAAATATTTCCTTACTACTTTGTGAGGTGACCCTTCTGTTAATGCTCGTCTTCAACTACTTGCCTTGGTTTAAAGTTATCTCTCTGAAACTTCCCTCCAGGACAGTGCATGACACACACACTTCCTTTCCCAAAAGACGGAAGTCAAACACGGAAGCCAGTGGTTCTCAACCCTCCTAATGCTGTGACCCTTTAACACAGTTCCTCGTGCTGTGGTGACCCCCAACCATAAAATTATTTTCATTGTTGCTTCATAACTGTAATTTTTCTACTGTTATAAATTGCAATATAAATATTTCTTGGAGATAGAGGTTTGGTGAAGGGGTCGCGACCACAGTCTGAGAACCACTGATGAAAGACAAAAACACTCTCCTCTGTTGGGCATTCAAGCAAACCCAGTAACTTTATTCCTTAGCCCGTGCTGCTGCTGCTTAACTCAAATGCTTACAAACATCATAGAAAACTTCACCGGAGCACAGGAGACAAGGCTCAGACCAACTTCCAAACACAAATTATATTTTAAGTGGCAAATACTAATCCTATGAGGAATGCGAGAATTGTGGCCGCAGCACTTTACAAACTTTGATCATCTCACTGTTTTAGACAAAGTTTATCTGTGTTAAAGTCCTTAGGCAAGTGGACTTTTAGATGGGAAACTGGACCTCCCATTGGTGCCAAACTGATAACACACAATAGTCTCTAATCACAAGAGGTCAAGTGGAATTGCACAGTGGTCGGTTCAGACGGCTTTGGCTCCAGAGGAAGTCAGCTTCAACAAATGAGTGGTGAATGAGTTGGGAGAGCTGTCTCAGACACAATAGAACATGAAGCATACACTTTCACATATACATCCTGTCCTGCTTGCGTCTATTAAGCTTTTCAAAACGACTTTCACAAGGCTGGGAGCTGGCTTGGTTGGTAGAACGCTTGCTTAGCATGCATGAGCACTGTATAAACCGGATGTGGTAGCACATGCCTGAAATCTCAGCACTAGTGAGAACAAGACAGAAAGTTCAGAAGTTCCAGGGCATCTTTGGTTATACTTAGAGTATGGGCAGCCTAGGATACCTAAGATCCCACCTCAAAACAAGGACAAAAATTCTACAAAGAATAAAGCAAAAGACATTCAACCAGAAGAATTCAAAAATTAGGACACATTGGAAGTCAGCTCTTCAATAGTGGTTGCTCTTCCATAGTCATTGGAAACAACTGAGCAAAGGAGCTATTCTAGATTAAGCAGCACACACCACACTCAGGAGATATTCAGGAGGTGTTGACTATGGTACAATGGTGGCCACAGCATTTTCATTCTGTCGTCTATACTTTCCATTTCTTCAGTTCACATGTAATTTTTTTTTTGTCAAACCTCACTGGTATTCTTCCTGGATGCATGACTTACTTAGCCGGTGTTTTCTATTGTCGCATCTGAATTGTGACCTCCATTGTTTAGTAATATGCCTCAGCTGTATTCTTATTGGCTAAAGGAGATTTTTTTGATCTGACCAGTACTAAAGCAATTAAAGACTTCTCTGGCTTTTGAACAATGCAATCATTTTGTTGACTGTTATAATAGTCTTTTGATCAGAATAAAGATTAAGGGCATGGTCTCTGGAGAGCCTGGGAAAATTACTTAATTTCACTAAGAGTCAATGTTTTCACTTGCAAAATGAAAAGAATACAAGGACCTATTTCAGAAGGCTGTTCAGGGATTAAATGAGATAACCTGGCAATAGTTAACGGTGATGCTTAGTTCAAAGAATACAAAAATCAATTAGAACCACAATTTTCATAGTCATATATAAGTATCAAAATGAAAATTGCATTATTTAGACTTTAAAACTCAAGTTATTTCAATAAAAAGTGGTACATTTTACCACCGTTCTGATAAAATACACCTATTAAAAATAGGACCAAATAGGCTGGGGAGTGGTGGTGCACACCTCTAAGATCTCAATGAGTTCAAGTTCAACCTGGTCTACAGAGTGAGTTCCAGAACAGCCAGGACTACACAGAGAAGAAACCTTGTCTAGAAAAAAAAAAAAAAAAAAGACCAAATAGAATAGATAATCTTCTTTGGCTCAGGAGTATGTATATATATTTCTTTCCCTTTTTCCCCCAGTGTTTCAAGATAGAGTTTCTCTGTGTATCCCTGGCTGTCCAGGAACTCTGTAGACCAGGCCGGCCTTGAACTCAGAGATCTGCCTGCCTCTGCCTCCTGAATGCTGGGATTAAAGTTGTGCCTCACTACCACCTGATTTCTAGTTTTTCTATACTGTGAATTCAGTATTTAGCTTGCTGACATTATATTATTTGAATGATTGGGGCCAATGGGAACCTAAGAAACCTGAGTGTGGTAACCCTGAGATTCCAGGGTAAAGTTGAAAGTATTTCATCAGAATGGAAGGTCAAGCTTTACTGACCTTCCATGAGAATGTGCAAACACAATTGTATCATCTTGGTGATTGATGGCTCTGGGCTCCCACAAGAGCCACAGTCCCTCTGTGTAATGACACATGTTTCCCTCTAGCTAGTGAAATCACAGTCCTGACATGCAAGGGTCAAAAAATCATAGGATGCTATGAGAATATCAATTAAAATGAAGAAATAAAGAGATGATTATACAAGTGGCAGCTAAAGTGATGGAGAATCTTAAGTTTCATAGTAATGGTTTCCCTCCAAACCCAGTTAAGCCCAAATACAGAGAAAAACTAATAGATGAATTACTTGAATGCAATCCATTTGTTTGTTTGTTTGTTTGTTTTTCTAGACAGGGTTTCTCTGTGCAGGCCTGGCTGTCCTAGAACTAGCTCTATAGACCAGGCTGGCCTCAAACTCACAGAGATCGACCTGCCTCTGTCTCCCTAGTGCTGGGATTAAAGGCATGCATCACCACTGCCTAGCAATGTAATCCATTTCTTCAGAGTTATTCGTGCACTATTAGCAATTCAATCAAAATCATGGATTCCGTTATGCATTAGCTGAGATCCTTCCTATTTTGCTGGAGTTATAGACTCTCCAGAAATTGAAATAATAATGTAATATGTTGCCTCAAAGAATTGGAAGTCTAGAAGCAGGCCCAGCTGCAGCGTTGTGAGCTCTGGGGGTGTCAGCTCTCTCTCCCAAAGGCAGTTCTCTAGCTCTACCTACTTCCATGTATTGGTGTCACAAAAAGGCATCCATGATTCATTCTGACCATAGCATCTTCTCTCACCTCCCATGGAAGGATTCCTCTCCAGAAACTTCTGGCATAGACCTGACCTCGCTGATCCGAATCATGTCTTTTCCCTCATTCTTGAATGAACTGTAAGATAATAGGATTGCTCCTGCAGCGCATGCTAACAGAGCAATGTGTGCATAAATGAAAACTGGAGTGCCTTTGAGGGAAAGGAAAACATTTTGGGGTCAGTTGTCAATGAAGTTATCAGGAATCTTTCTGGAGGTTGGGTGGAGCAGGGATTCCCCCATACCCTCTAAAAGTTTCTCAAACAATACTTTGTTTTTAAATAATTATGAAGGAACACAACCAAAACTTTCCCAACCTGAATTTCTCCTTTGCTGAAATGACAACAATAATTAAGAGTGGGCATAGCAATATTGATTCGTGCACTACCTATCCCCAGCTAGGTTTGAAAATATGAAAATGGCTCTAAAGATTTGGATTGTTTAGAGTTTTAAAGATTTAACTGGCAATTTCCTCCTAATTTTGAGGACAGAGGATTTTTTTTAATGGAAATGCAATCTGTATATAATAACCCAAACTTCAAAATGTTGTTATAGAGCAACTATTTGATGTTTGACAAGTTTTTGACACTCCTTAATGAGCTTGTTTATATCTTTGAGAAATAAATTTACCAAGCACAAATCTGAGCAGGAGAATCATAAGTGGGACATTTTATTCTTGAAGGAGTGGACTGCCATCTAAATCCAGGAAACCAGCTTTCAATTTCCTTCAAGTGAAAAGTGCCTACATATCTAATCATTTCCATTTCATTGCTTTTCCTTTGCTTCTGGCTTTTGTTTTCAGAGACCCAAATAAGCTAATGAAGTGAACTGAACTCAGGAGAACTAGATTCCAGTCTGAAGCTTGCTGTGATGACTCAAGAAAGCCATCTCATTTACCAAAATCGGATTCTCTTTTCAGATGGTCAGTCTTGGGGAACCATTCACTCATTCTTATTTATTCATTTGTTCAATGAACATTTATGGTGGGTCCAGTATCTCAGAGAATTAGGAAAAGTAATAATAAGGTGGCTTTTGCTTTTAAGGATGTCACAGGAAAGTGACACAGATGAGACTCAGCCTGAAGGGAGTTTTATAATGAGTTAAGTGCAGCGATGGAATTAGGTATTTCGGAACAGGTATTTTGGAATTAGCTTCAAGGCATACTTAAGTCACCTGAAGACTGGAGATGGGGGAAGATAGTTTCCTTGGAGATGATGATATGGGAGCTGAAAATGGAAGGGTGAGTAGGCATTCACCAGGCAAGGTTCAGGAGTGAAGACATTCAGAAAGAGGAGAGACATCATGATTAAGGTACAAAGTGAAGACACAGCCTCCTGGATCAGCGATTCATGCTGCTAGAGACAAATTTTGAAGCAGAGAGTGGGAACAGAGAACATTGGAGAGATGAGTGGGAGCCAGAAGGCTTTGAGAGGCTTTGCCCCTGGTGAGTGATGATCCATTAAAATATGTCACCTTAGGGTCAAACTGAAACAATCTCAGAGTTTCTGCGATGTTTCACTCCAGCCTTCTTTAATTGTATTTTATCTTGACATTGAAAACAATTCAAAGGAAGTATTCAATAGCATTTATTCTATACTATCTCACCTTCCAAATGCCACTATCACTACCAATAAATTCAATGTACATTGAATCCACCTCCCCCCCCTTTGCATAATTGAGTTGGGAAAGTTATGGATCTTTTTTGTTTGTTTGTTTAAAAAGAAACCATAATTTTTATTAATGAGTAAACTTTTGTCAAACAAATTCACCGGAGTCCCAACTATTGCTTTAAAGTAAAGAACCCTCACTCATTTTTTTCTGTTTTATAAGGTTAATTGTTCCCTTCTAGAGCACAGACCTTAGAACTAGTAGAGTGCTTTGTTGCCTGGCATCTTCTAACTAACACGTAGAAAGGTCTGGATATTAAAAATGACTTTTTTGCTCCTCAGTCTCTCCTCCACAACCTCCTCCACTCCTTCTTCTTTCATTTAGAAGAGTCTCCTATTAAGATGCAAATTCTTCAAGTGGAATTCATTTTGCTATTATCTGAAAATGGTAGTGTGAATCAACTGAGTATTAAACATCCAGAGGAAAGGGAAGAGTTCCTGTAGTCCAGGATTGAGTGTCAACGGGAGGAAAGGGGCCTGGACATCTGAGAAGGAAGGCCCATATCTCAGCTCTGTCTCTTCAGTGGAGAGAACCATTTCCAGCCCGATGAATCAATCTTTTCTGTAAAAGCAATCAAAGGTCAGGAACTACATAATATTTCTCAATAAAGTAATAGAAGTGTCCAAAGAGAGTTCCAGGACAGCTAGGGAAGAAAAAAGAAGAGACTCTCCAGTCACTAAATAGCAGAGCATTTTCTCAACCCAACTGTAGAAACATTGTCTTAGATAATAATGGGATGCTTGTCTCACTGATGTCCTGGGAAGTTGAATAGAAAAATATTCTGAGGCTCTCCAGACAGAGAGACTACCTGGAAATGGGAGCACCCACAGTCATCCTTCTTCTTGTGTGGGGTAAATGTCCATTCCCTAGCACTTCTCATTTCGCTTGAACAAACAGAAAAGAGACACCATGCAACCTGCAAACAGCAGAACACATTTCTTTCAGGATTCCTTATGGCAGTATGAGGGGAGTGCTGCTGAACTTGAAGGGGATGCTGTGTGGAGGGCTGAACAAATTGAGAGGATAGGGAGAGCTGTGCACAAAATAGGCAGGGAGAAAGGATGCAGGAGCATCATCTTGAGGCTCCCATCTGGAAAGGCCTTCCTTCCTGCCGGTTGCATGAATGGGTTAGGTCAGAGACAATTTCCTGGATGTATAGCAATGTGATTACATATATGCACAGGGGCCTTCACATGCTTCAATGCTTTGCCCTTACTGTGTAAAATTCTTGTGTTCTTTTTTTCTTTGTTGGTGAAGCCCAAATGGGACCATAGGGCATGAGCAACAAGATGTGCTGCCCTTCTCTGCCACCTCAATTATACATCACGTTCAGGATACCCCAAGAGAACAAGATTTCTCAGACCTAAGATATATGGAAATTCAGAAAGTCAAAGCAAGCCCATGGCAAGAATAGGTAGCTGGGGATACTGTGAATGTGTTGCTCTGATTGATTGATAAACAAAAACGCTGATTGGCCAGTAGCCAGGCAGGAAGTATAGAATAGGCAGGACAAGCAGAGAAGAGAATGCTGGGAAGTGGAAGACTGAGTCAGGAGATGCCAGCCTGCCGTCCAGGGAGCAACATATAAAGGCAACAGGTAAAGCCACAGAACACATGGTGATATATAGATTAACAGAAATGGGTTAATTTAAGATATAAAAACTAGATAGCAAGAAGCCTGCCACGGCCATACAGTTTATAAGTAATGTAAGTCTCTGCATGTTTACTTGAGTCTAAGTGGCCGGCCGCAGGGCTGTGGGAGCTGAGCCAAACCAGAAAAACTTTAGCTACAGTAGTTGCTTCCTCTACTGGAGTATCACTACTATGGTCTTAAAGTCAAGCAGCTCTCATGATCTGCTTGAGACACTCAAGCTATCAGGCCTCTTAACATCCTCTTGTGGAAGGATGGAGAAGGCTCGGGATCAGCATAAGGATCAGAAGAAACCAATGGCCTTCAGAAGAACCCCTCTATGCATTGTCCATCTCCAGACATTTGTCTTAGTTAGGGTTTCTATTGTTGTGAAGAGACACCACGACCACAGCAACTCTTATAAAGGAAAATATTTAACTGAGGCAATGGCTTATGGATTTAGGGGTTTAGTCCATTATCATCAAGGCAAGGAGCATGTTGGTGTGCAGGCACACATGGTCCAGAGAAGGAGCTGCTACATGTTGATATGCAGGCAACAGGAAGTAGACTGTCTTAATGGGCATGGCTTGAGTACATATGAGACCTCAAAGCCCACTTCCACAGTGACACACTTCCTCCAATAATACTCCAACAAGACCATAGTTCTTAGTAGTGCCACTCCCTTTGGGGGCCATTTTCTTTCAAACCACCACATTATGCATTGCCCATCTCCAGAGATTGCAGTCACAACTGTTTAAGAGGTGAACATGAGACTTCTCCACAGCGCTGCCTGTGAGTCATCAATACACCTGTAACTAACCCCATAAACTTATTGGTTCACCAAGTTCACCAAGATAGACTTGAACAGAATCTTTTTTTTTTTTTTTTGTCTCTTGGTGTCCTCTCTATTCAGAGTGAATAAGCATATCTGTATGTTGTCTCTAGAACAGTCACTCAACAGCAAGTTTGTTATACTCATGTCTTAGTTAGCTGAGGTTCTCATGGCAGCAGGAAGCTCGACTTCCTGTCTGAGAACACACGTTGAATACAGAAACAAGGCAACAATGAAGAGATGACCAGACAAGAGAAGACATTAGTTTACAAAGCATATATCTGAGAGGTGATTAATATAAAAATATATAACAAACTCAAATATGTTTTTACAGCATTAGTGATAGTCATTTCCTCCTTTGTGGTCAAGGGCAAAATTTTCATTTTGTAGTAGAACTCACATCTTATGTATCTCTCCCTGATGTCATACTTTTAAAAAAATATTGCATTTTATTACTTTTGTGTGTATGTGTGTGTGTTAGTGTGCATGTATGTACATGATGGTGCGTATATGGAAATTAGAAGACATCTTGCTGGAGTTGGTTCTTTCCTTTTACTGTGTGGGCCCCAGGAATAAAAGTCAAGTTGTTAGACTTGGTGGTAAGCACCTTTACTCACTGAGTCATTTCCCAGTCCTGCCTCACCTCCTGATACCTCTCTCAATGCTCAAAATAATTTTTTAATATATTTATATCTTAACAGAATGTGTTTCATCTGGTGGGGTCTTTATTTCCACCATGCTTTTTATCAATCATCCTTAGCATTAGGAACAGAGTAGGGAGAATAGTGTATGGAAAACCCACTCATTGGCATTAGGAAGTTGTTATTGAACTATTGGAAGAGAGACAATAGGTCCATTTTCTTGTTGGCCTCCATAAGTATGTTTCTTAAGCTAATAAACTAGAAAAATTCAAAATGAAGATGAAATCTACTATTCTTAACACACTTCATTAACTATCATATACCATTATATTTATATCTAAACAGACTTGTCTACAACTAAATTCATACTTGCAGCATTTAAAATTTTGCCTTGAAATCTAAAAAATATATATTATAATTTGCCTGAAATTCAAGTGACAGAAGGAGCCTCCTGATCCTATCAAATGGTGATTTTGTTATATGTTATTTTTCATTCAGATTGATAAGTCTAGAAGGAAATAAATAGCAGCTAGTATGTATTCTACAGCTAATGACTCAGGTCCTTTCTACTGTATGGCTCAGCTATGGTTAGTCTCTGTCCCCAAACTACCAAAGATATGTACAGAGATCTAGGTTGTGAACGTGAAAGAAAAAAGGAAAGGAGGGAAGGAAAGAAGGAAGAAAGGAAGAAAAAATAGAAATAAAAAACATGTCTCCTTTCCTTAAGAAACTTTCAGAAATTGATACAGACACTGATACTGACCTATTAACAAAAATCTAAGCCTATTGTCATATTACACATTAAAGAGACTGATAAATGTAATTCCACAATCCCAGTCAAAAGCATGGTTACTGGGGAAAATCAGAAGAATGGAAGCTGTACATATCATAATTTTAAGTCACTCATGACAATTTTGCAAGATTTCTCTTTTCAGTAAATCATACCAGCATGGGGCCCTGATACATAGTATTGTAGATAATCAATGAGTATTGTTTAATTGGTTTGTAAATTGTCACGACTTACATTTATATAACTTACTAATTTTATCTAATACCTACTTATTTTATGTAATAATTCAGGAGATAATAAAAAAACACAAGTTAATTGTAATATAAAATTTTCTAAAAAAAAATAATAAGCATACACTATTTGCAAAGCATACATCTGATACACACACCTGTCTTAGAAACTAGACTTATTTTCTAGTGTCAGATGATGTGATCGAAAGTGACAAGCACATCTGAGTATAGATTGCCAGGCTCAGGGCACTTCTTGGAAGGCTAGTTGGGGGATTACATTCACAATGGTTTATACTCAGAGTTGGGCTGGGCTCAGGAATCTGGGTTTTCAGTCAGTGGCCAGGTGAATGACAATAAGAGATGCTGATGCAGGGCACAACAGTTTGGTCTGTCTCTCCATGAAGCCTGTTTCCCAAAAAGCTCAGCAGAAGACCAAATCTTTAAATGACACTTGCAAAATCCATCCTCTTGCTGTTCTTCTTGTATCTTGGGGCAATCACTGCAAATCCCAGGCCCTCACATTTGTACCTTTCCCTTGTCACTTAGACTTCCTGTGTCTGCTTCATTTCTGCCTTTTCCGTCACTACAGTGTCTGACCTTCTCCCCTGCACAGGAAGAGCTGCCTGGGGATAAATTTTACCCAGCTGGGGAAGCGCAAGGTTGGTGAGACAGGGCAGAGGGAATGTAAGCCATCTGCCATTGCGTTTATACATTTCCCCAGTAGGCAGGTAAATATCAATTTCTCTATGTGGTATTTGAAGTACAGTGCACAAGGGCAGACCTTAATCTCACAACTGTAAAACTGTTTTGAGGTAAACTACTATTTTGATGTTGATTTATCCTATAGTCCAGTGTTTCTAAGAGTATTCTGTATGTATTATATACACAAAGTAATTAGAAGGGGTGCCTTTGCAGTTTCTAAACTTGAGAAGTTTCCTATTTATTTTTGTTCTGACTTTACATTTATTGCAAACCACTGTGAATTTCTATTAGTGGTAATGATATAAAGTAAAAGCGTGAGTTAAATTAAGGAAAGATGTTAAATAATTGAGTCATTTGGGCAAAATTAGAATCATATTCTCAAAGTTTATAGTTGGATGACTTTGGAATGTAGTACTAACATGTCTAATCCTATTTATTTGTTTGTAAAATATGAACTCAGAGGGCTTTGCATTCACATATAAATAATAAGTATTCAATACATAGTGAATATGTAATAAGTATTCAATATTAATTGTTATAATTCTTATTAATGTTATTAATTTCTACAGGATTTCCATCAGCATTATCATAATATTTAGTGTGATATCTGTCTAGTTACTTAGAGAGTATTAAATGGTCTTTTACAAAGAAAAATTGGAATCTCAAGGATAACCTCAAAAAATTGCCCATCAATATTGACTCTGTTGAATAAATTATGATTTATTCATTAAGTAGAATACCATGTAGTCATTTAAAATAATTAGAATTGGCTAGAAGGCAAGTATGATGAGAGACATGGGGTGAGGGGATTGGGTGGTATCATGGAGACATGCAAATTAGAAAAGGCGTTATAGAGAAAGCAGAGATTTAAAGCATCTTTGGACTGCGAAGGCAGCAGTCTGACCAATGGACATCAAGTATTCCAGACAAAGGATGCATCAGGGACATAAATGTAGATGCAAGAAAAAAGGTTGGCTTCTCTGTAGAAATGCAAGCAGTTCCACGTGACTAGAGTGTGATGTGTACACTGGGACATGGCCAGATCTGACTCTGGACTAGTTGGTGGCAGATTGTAGAGAGCTGTGGTCATGATAAGGTAGGGCCAGGGGGTGCCATCGATGGTTTCAAGTAAGGCAGCAACACCATCATGACAGTGTTCTTGAAAGATGACATATGTAGCTGTGTGTGGATGGTTCCTCAGGAAGAGGTCAGCATCACAGTGTAGACAGAAATGGGGTCTCAGAAGGAGGGAGGGGGAACCTGAGCATTAGGAAGTAGTGATAGTACTTAGGAAAGACTAATTTCCAGGCCTCATAAGTGTTAAAAATACTGTGAAAAGAAAAGGAGACACAGTGACAATAATCTGTAATTTACTCTGTCTGAGGTGCTTAAAAATCATCTTAGTTCCGTTAGCTGTGTAGGCCTATGGGGGAGACAAAAATGGATGACTGTAGTCTGTCAGCCTTAACAACATCTTACATTGCTATAGTTTCATAATTACCTACTTACCTATCTTCTGTGTGCATGCATGCATGCACATGTGGGTCTGTGTATGTGCATGCATGTTTGTGGAGGCCAGAGAGAGGTCAACAACCTCAGGTGTTATTCCTCAAGAGTGGTGCACATTTTTAAAAAGAAATCATTTATTTATATATTTATCTTTAGGCAGAGTCTCCCACTGGGATCCGAGGAATCCCCGATTGAGCTACACTGACTGTCTAGCATGTCCTAAACTGGGATTACAAGCATATGCTGCTGTGTACAACTTGTGTTCATTCATGTGCGTTCTGAACTCGGGTCCCCATGCTTGCAAACATGTTCCCCACTGAGATGCTCCGCAGCCCTGACAAAGTATCTTGACTGATGAGTCCCTTGTGTAAGTGGCCTTTTCCTGCCTCATGCTGCATCTTCCATGAGTTTGGTCTAACTCCTTGGAGGCCAATTCGTGACTGCTCTCATTTCAGATCCCTCTGCTAGGCACTGGTTGGTAGTCTAGTTTCCTCCATCTGACCAAAATGTCACAAGCCTACTCAAAAAGTCATGCCATGGAGATCTCTGAGATGTCATTCCCTTCCTGAGAGCAACATCGGCCTGTTGGGATGGGGTATCAAAATAAAAAAAAAAATCTAAAATGCAGAGCAAATTACTCCTTCTTATACCTTGCTTATTGAATTTGCAGAAACTCGATTTTGTGAAGAGTAGAGTGTTTTTTAAAGCAGCAGTAAAATCGAGAAGCCCCTTTAAAAGAGGCCTGATACACTAGAGTCGAGGGAACAGTGCCGTGCCTGTGAAGCTTACAATAATCCTTGGCTTTGCTTGGTGTTGAAAGTGACCAAAACGAATCAGGTCCAGAAGAGCATTCCACAAAGCTGCTTTTCTGACTCTCTGCCTCTGCCCTGCCTGCGTCTGCGGCTGAGCAGATTGCCGGAGCTGGTGCCAACTCTACATTGCTTAATAATAATTCTCATTAGCATGCTGCCTTGGATGTGTATCGCAGAGCAAAATTTAGCTTTTCCTTGGTGTGAATCAGGAGAGAAGCATGAAATTCTCAGCCTAAGCAAAGGGCTTGTGGACCTTGGATGGGGCCACCTTTGCACAAACAGGGTAGCTGCCCCTCTTTGGCCCCCAATCAGGGGACCAGAGAGACAAAGAGGAATTTTACTCGCAAATGGGGAACTTTGTGTTCTTTCTGCCTCTCCACTTGCAGCCTCTGAGATTGCACTTGTTTGTGCCTTGCTATTGAATAGTCTGATACGTTCCCAACACCCAGGGCCTGCCCGAGTCGGGTGCCCCATGGAGCGAATGCTCGTAGCTCTGATCGGTGCATCTCCGCAGCACGGCTGCTGGCCCAGTATACCTGTCGTTTCATGACTTTCCCGAGGTCGCTCACATTAGCTTTAGTAACGCAAGTGAACAAGAGGCTGTTTTCTCTCCTGCAGATGCCAGGGTGACTTGAACGGCACTCTGAGGAGACACGCACAACCTTGCACATTCACAGCCTGTTTAACAGGGGCCGTATTTCCCACAACGGCTTTCACATGCCATCTGCTGTCACATGGTACCACGTGCCAGGTCCTTATAAGAAATGTATTTGCTCACTCACTTTCTCACTCCTCCTTTAGAAACGGCAAATTGAAGACAACTTTAAGCAAGGTTTCACACTGAAGGGATTATGTGCATATCAAATGTATTGAATTAAAAGAGGATTTTTATTGTCATTCCCGGCTGCAAAATGGCAATCAGACACCCTCATGAAAAATTTAAAGACGTTATCAGACTCAGTGGGTAGTGGAAAAGACACCACTGAAAAGTAATCTTTTTGTGTGTAAATCTACTTGCCAAAAGAATGACAACCACAACTACAAAAAGAAAAAAAAAAAGCTTGTAAGGAAAGAGTCTAAGGTATTTTATAATTCTCTACTCTTGTTTGTGCTGGGAATGGAACCCGGGGCTCCATGCACACTGCAAAGCCACTGAACCGCTGAGCTGTCCATCATCATCACCCTCTCCTGTTGGCCTGTGTGCCCTGTCCCTGCTTGGGTCTAGTGCTGAGCTCAGTGGTAGAGGAGAGCCACTTTCTGAAAGGGTGCAGGGACTGGTACAAAACATAGCGGGAACCAGTGAATTAGCACATCCTGTCACGGCTTACTCTTGAATGATGGTGCCTTCTTTGTTAATTGAAAAGAAATGTAAAATGGGAGAGAGAGCCAAAGGAAACAAAACAGAAAAACCCAATAGAGAAGATTTCAGTCTCCCCTCTTTCCTCCTTCATGACCTGTGATAGCACACTGTAGTATCTCCCGGTCATACATCTTCATGTATTATTCTGATGCTGTCTGTAGGGAGCCTAGAACAGGAGGCAGGAGACACAGTCTGTAATTGAAAGTTCTTTCAGGAGAGGCGTTCTATCAGGCCTGCTAAGGGAGTCAGCCGCACCTGCTGGCTTTTTTATGTTTAGCAGCTCTGAAAGGATGCAAAGCATAAAGAAATTGAATAGTGTTGTTTCCTTTATAATTTCTCAGTGGAAATACAGTTCTCAAAATTATTGATAAGATGTACCAGCCTAACCAGGGTTTTTAAGATGAAATTGCAGTCTATAGCTTGTTTTAAGCATGTGGGGTGTGTTTGGCTTCTCCGAGCTGGTTTAAACAATTACTGTAATCTGTAACAATATATGAATTCATAAGTTGTTGCCACGGTGGCTCTTAGGGAGTGCTTGGCTTCCCAGACATTGCATCTCTCAGCTGTAAATACTATGCCACTGTTCTATGTGCATGTTGTTTGAAGATTTAGTCTCTTGTTACAGGTAGTTTAGAAGAAATCCGAGCTATTCCGGATCTGAGGAACAGAGATGAAAACAATAGTACTGTAACTAGCGTGGACATTATTTGAGTATCACTGTGCATTTTCGTGTGCAACCATGTACATACAGCTCCCATACAGCTGAGCAGTCTTTTCCTTGAAGGCAATTGCCATGAGGACTCATGGAATGCATTCCAAGCCTGCTTGACTCCTAATTCCCTGAGTAAGGAGATCCCTGAGGGCAGGCACATGGCTTTAACACTTCTAATCCCACCCTGTGGGTTTCAGTGCCCATCTAGATTTTGCTAGCGGATAAAGGATAAGCTACATTTCTTGTTGGATTCAACTGGGAAGGTAAAGCATCCTTATTGATGGATCGGGTTTTGTACTTAGAAAAACATCTTTATATTACTTTTATGTGGCAGTGTTGTAAGTCCTGTTGAAAGTGGAAATGTTACCAGCACACAAACATCCTCTCAGGCCCTATATCACAGGACTCACTACACCCAGATGATTTCTGTGGGAGTCTCAGCTTGTCTTGTTGTTGTTGTTTGATTTTTTTTTTTTGTTTTGTTTTATTTTGTTTTGGCCTTGCTAACAAGCTTCTCTGGGTTTTGTCATCTGGTAGCACACTATGCAGTCCTAGAGTTACCTACAAACTGTTCTTCGGAGGTAGTCACATGACCCAGACCTGCCTGATTCCCCCTGGTCCAGTCAGAGTGCTGCCCTGGGATTCATGTCTACACAGGGGGAGAAAGATCTTATCTTCTTCCTCAGGAGTTGCTACCTTACAGCTGCTTGCAGTCGTGTTCTCTTCCAGGTCAAAAGCAGAAAGGGCAAGCCAGATTTCAAAGCAAAGGTAAAGATTGGCAGTGGTGTCAGCCGTAGCCAGAGAAAAGCCCAGCAGCGCTTGCCCTGCCCGTTCAGTTCCCAATGCCTGACTTCCTACCGCCCCTTATCGCCTCCTGGTGACTCCTGTTGCTAGATTCCATGAGTTTATAGTGAGTTTCTGTCATTTGCAACCTGAAGAGGTCTGTGCATCCTTACACTAGAAATGAGAGTTGTGTGGCTAGCACATACTTACAGAGAAGTAACGAGTCCTTTTCTCCACCAAGGCTGAACTTAGGAGGGTGGGGAAAGAGAAGCAAGCAGTTTCTCAAGAGCATCAGGTAACAAGAGGAACTAATGACTGTGTCCTGCTCTCCAGTTTTCCAAATTACTGTCTCTCTAGTTCCCTAATCACTGTCTCCTGTGACCTTACCCTCTGTGTGGAGGAGAGAGGATGGTGGGTAATATGCCACAGGGTAAGAGAAGGGAGAGTGGACGTTTGTGGTGAAGGCCCATGGCTGAGCACAAAGGATCCTGTCATCCATCTCTTCTGAGTCTGGGCCCACAGTTTGGGGCCCAGTTTCTCTGCTTATGGTTTTACTTGTAAGGGCCAGTTCAGAGAATTCACACAATTGATTCCAAACCATTGGAGATCTATATGAAGCAGAGGCTCGGTTTCCCTGCAAGGTTGCTTTGTTGTCTTGAGTGGTGGGAGCAGAGGTAAGGAAAGTAGAAAGCTAATGCACTGGAGGTACTTCCCCAGGCATAGGGCAACTCAGAAGTTGGGCAAATGTTGGAGAATCACCACTGAGGTTCATACTTCATCATGCTTCAGAACTGCCTTGTGGGAAGAGGACAAAACAGGGACAAAGTAGATTGCTGGAGCTAATTCCCAGAGGTCAAGAACTGTAAATGGCCCAGGACTCTGCATTTCCGACACATTTCTTATTGGCTGATAGACTTGGTACCATGACTCCTTGTAAGGAAACTGGTAATCTAGGCCATCTCTCTTCAAATCCTGGACTCCATGTACACAGCCACACAGCATCTTTTTTTTTTTTTTTTAACAGTGCACCAGGCAAGGTTCATCCTCTACCCTGTGGCAAATCTGACATCTTTTCAATATTTCAAAAAAGCATTGAGATCCAGGGAATAAGGATTCATATCAAATGCTCGCTTTCTGCATACTTCTGCAATTTTTGTGCTATGTATCTGAAATCTGACAAATGCTATTCTGAATCCAGGCAACAAATGCCGAGCCGGGAAAGAAAAAGATCCTAAACTCTGATGTCCACATTCCCTTTAAGTGCATTTTAATTGAGAAGAGTGTGGTTGTGGGGCAGGGCTGAGCAGCGGCAGAATATATGGGAAGCGGTAACTTCAGTTCCTCACATAAAATGTACATCAGGAGAAAAAATAAACAAGACGAACTCAAAATACTGTAGCAAATGTTGGGCTGAAATACTGCCAGGTGTGGAGGTGTAGAAAAATGAACACACATTTTGGTGGCAAGGCACAAAACTGTTTAAATCCTTCTGCAGAAGTTTCAAAGGACTATAATTTTGGCATGGATCTATGAGCATGGTACCAGGTTTATCATGAAGGCATGCCAACAGGACTGGTAAAGAGTACCTTGTCCAGCCTTGGATATTTCATAACACCTCAGAAACTACCTTCACATATTGCCAAAGAACACAACATGGAGAAAGAAGTCAGAACATTTCTCCATACCATATATATATACCAAAAGGTGTGAATTCTCAGTAAGTGTTAGCTAGCTTGTACTCTCTTCACAAAGTAATATTCTTACAAAGGACTCAAGTGGATATATTTGGGTACATGCAAATACGTGTGTGTAAATACGTATATATATTTACTTATTTAAAATGTTTTCTTAAGTTTAGTTCATTATAAAATGTAGCATTGATTGCCTCTGCTCATTACTGATGATGAAGTAAAAATTTGAGATGGGAGAATCCAGGGTACACATATATGATGATG